GTCCTTTCTTAGTAATGTAAGACGATGATTTCTGGACGATCCGGGCCCTGGTCGCTTGCGGAAGCGAAGTGAAGTGGAAAGTAACGGCGACGACGATCCAACACTGCACTACATTGTCCGCAATTCAATATGGCGCCGGCGCATGCGCAGCCCAAATTTCTATTTTTAGCCTTACACAGATACCCTGATCAATGCTATTATTGAAACTGGTTAGTCGTGTGTCTATTCGCGCGTAAAAAGCTTGGTACGATGTGTGACTGAATCACACTCCCGCCGGAAAAAATCGACCATTAGCGATAAAATTGCGCTGTAAATAAACATGGCCCTCGATATTTTGCAGGGTGCGTGATATAAAACAGAAAAGCCAAAGGGGAGCCAATCAACACAGATCTTTCAAACACAGATGAAAATATGGCCAATAAAATTCGCTGTAAGATGGTACTAGTTTAATATATGCAGCTATGACTCATGCGAAAGAAAATTGAGGTCAAAGTTTTGTCCGTTCGTTTTCTTATGTAAATACGGTATGTAATTTTTTTAAACTGAAAGTTTCACCATGTTTACTATTTTAACTGTCGTTTAAAACTATTATTGTAATTATTCATTGACCAGCTCCACTGAGAAAACTCCGGTACAAAATCGAGGTCATCGGAAGACAGGTCAAAAGTTGAGATCGAACGTAAAAATGGCGACACGCCAATTTTTGAGTCGACCAGAACTTTTCCTTGAAGGTCTACACTTCACGGGACGCCAATTTCTGGGTAGTAACATTGATTTCCAAAGAAACTAATTCTCGTACGATTATTTTGTGACCGAATTTACAAGGTCCTTTGTTATTTTACATTAATTTCGGCACATAATCGGCAATGAAGTGGTTGAATGCAAATTTTCTACGGGTTTAGTTGCCGGGTTCAAAAAATACGGCAATTATTCGCAATGCTTCAAAAGCGCGATATTATCGTTATTACGCCGGCATTACCATTAATTATTTGTGAATTGTACTTTGCACGATTATTTGGTATACTATTAGGGGAATTCTGTGTTGTTTACGTGCATTATTTTTGAAACCATATGCCGACGCTCTGCACTAGAAATCTGAGTACCGGTAGCTCATTCAAAGTTCAAAATCGACTTTACTTCTTTCGTGGCTTTGATTTTGAAGATTTCGAAAATCACATTATTATTACTTTATGTCATGAGAGAATTAAATCATCTCAATTATTTGTTTGTTTGGATTTTTTTTTCAATTATTTTTGCCTGTTTAATTTGTGTTCACTTTATTATTATTCAACAGTTGTTTATGTTGTAAATAAAATACACTTTTTAATCACAATTGTTTGTTTTCTGTGTTTTTTCATAGTTCTAACATATAAGTAATTAATTTCTAAACTCATTAATATACTCTTGTTAGACATTAGAAACAGATAAATATATAAATAAATATTGTTTGTTTTTTATATTTAGATATTCCAATATGGATGTGTCATTTAGAATCAGGGACAACTTAGAAAGTTTATTGTCAGGGCAGAAGAAGTTAGTTGATATTAGCTGCAATGTTCCACTAAGTTATGGTCTGTATTTAAATTTACATGATGATCTGCAGAAAATGGGAATTAATATACAACAAACCATGCCAGATATAATTAGGCTTTTTGACCCAGATATTGTTTTACCAGTGAAAATTAGCAACTTAAAACGAGTACGGAGAAATGTAGAGAAAGCTAGAAAAGATGGAAAGGAAGTATTTATGCGGCCTAGTGCTGAAACAAAACTAAATGTCACTGGAATTAGATGCCAGTGGACTCGGCTACATGATGCATATTTAAAACTGAAATGCAGCAAACGTCAGCATGAGTTAGATGACTTCCTAAGCAAGTCATACAAAGCTCCAAGGACAAATCCCAATGAAGTCAGTGAAACTGTAAGTGAAACAAGTAGAAGTAATCAAGATCTGGAAAACATTCTAGAAAGTTTGAGTAGAAATCTTGCTGACAGTTACCAAGAAATTAGCAAAATTACTCAAAGTATGGAAGAGCTTTCATGTGAGAAATTAGCTGCACTAGATAAAATTAGTGAAATGAGCAAGAAGCAAGACAAGTATAGGCAGAAATTGATTCAAATAAATGATTTAAAAGCAAAACTTGCAGCATTAACTCCCAGAAATTTCAACAAAAAAATTAAAAGGCGAGATGAGAAAATAAAGAAGATGACACATCAGATTGAAGAACAAAATAAAGTGATGAAAGAATATATACATGACATAAACCAATCAACAAGAGATAATGAAATACTACAAGAGAAATTAGATCAGATCTTAATGGAAAAAAAAAACCTTCAGAAAAGCAAACGTTACTGGAAAACAAAAGCCCAGTCAGCAAGTGAACACCATTCTCAGAAAGTGAAGAGTAATCTGGAACGCGTGAAACATTTAGAAAATGACAATATGAAGCTACGTGAAAAAATAGAAGATTTGATGGATGCAAACGAAATTAAAACCTTTGAAAATGGAAAGTATACAGATAGTATAAGACAGGTTTATTATGATCTTTTGATACACAATGTTTCAGTACAAAATTGCACAGCAGTTGTAAAGTCAGTGCTCAAGAACATCCTGAATGTTGATGTTGATAGGTTGCCAAGTAAGTCCCTGACATCCATGATGCAGATCGAAGCCCTGGTATTGGCTCAAGCCCAAGCTGCCACTGCAATACTTGAGCAACAGGATCCAAACACACTTCACAGTGATGGCACTTGAAAAAAGTTTATTGACTATGCTGGCCTTCAGGTTTCATTGCCAGACAGGTCATCATCAGGTTTCCAAGAATTGCTTAGTGGGTCAGCTGATGACTACATGAATGCTACCATAGAAACATTTGAAGAACTAGCTCAGTCAATAGCTGTAAACGATGAAGAAAAAAAACATATATACGCACAACTAACTCTTCGAAGCAAAAATATTATGCGTGACAGACATGTTGTGAACAAAAAATATAAAAGCAAGATGGAAGAAATGCGTGAATCTTTATTGCCTATTGTTGAAGAAAACTGGGACTCATTTGATGAAAACTGTGAACCATCTTCTATGCGGAATGCATGTATTGGTAAATATGGCTGCCGCAGCCAGTTCAGCATGCATTGAATTTGAAAAGGAAAAAAAAGATCAAATTAAAAATCTGGTGTGTACACTGATTTTGGGCCATATTTGGAAGTTGAGCTGAAAGAGAAAAATAGATTGATAAAGTTTGAACACAATAGATTCAACGTTGCATTTTACCAGGGAGCTGCATTGTACTATCACAAACAGCACATTTCAGATTTTTTGTCATCAGGATGATGTAATTCTACAAATAAACTCATAAGCGAGGTTCAGGCTGTTTTGGATGAACAGGTTATAATTGCAGAGTGCAGAGCCTTTGGAATTATTTCGAAGCTGGTAACTGGACCTTTGATGCGACTTCTGGAAAAAGATATGAATTATTATGATATGAACATACACTGGTTAGAATTAAAAACCTGCCTAGCAGACAACGCGATTGATGCAACACCACTGTTGAAAGAAACAAAGTACATTACCAACAGTTTAATAAACAAGGATGAAATCTATGCTGCACTATTCAACGAATGTAGTCCAGAACTAAACACATTAACATTAGAAAGTGCACGGTGTATCTGCAAAGCTATGCTGGTCATCGTAGAGAGACAGGTTGGTAATCAATTACCTGGTAGTTTAGAAAACCAGCCCTTTGAGTCATTGCGACAAGAAGTTGCAAGTGCACCCTTAACTAATGTAAGATCAGAGTCGGATTTCTCTGATCTTGATCACAATATTCACAGGGCGCCACAGAAAAGTCCGGTTTCAAAAGCTGGTTGTATCTGTTTCAACAAAAACAAAACCTCATTATATCTCTATAATTTGGGAACAGACATCAAAAGAAAATATTTATCAATCGCACGAAAACAAGCCCCTGAAAAAGAAAGAAGGAATTTGTTCACAGCAGAAACATTAAAAAAAAAGACTTTTGCTGCAGACTGAAAGACTGAAAAAAAAACGTAAACTGCTAGAGCGCAAAAGACAAATAAAAGTACAATTAGAATTACGAATAAAAAATAAGTGGTGAATTTGGGAAACAGAGAGAGAAGTTGACATGATGCTGACACAGATGAATAGAGTGCAACAAATGAAAGCAATAAAAGATCAAATATCCTACCATTGTCAAGTACTGAAATCAAATCTACCAAACAAGAAATTAGCAAAATGGCAAAGTAACAAAATTGTTTTAACTGTACAAGAACTTACAGACAATCTGAAATCAATCATAAGAGCAAATGGAGACATGCCAGAGTATGTGAAAGAAATAAATGATAACATCAGGAAAAGAAAAGCAAATGATGAAGTACCAGTACGAGGCAAGAAAAGAGTGAAGAAGAATGTACACAATACTTTTGGAATAAAACATGTGACTGTTGGCATGTATGTAGCTGTAGCATATGAAGCACAGTGGTTTGCTGGTGAAATAATAGGGGTTTCTTCTGACTCTACCACTGTAACAGTAAATTGTCTGGAGAGGAAAACTGGTGACTCATTTAGGTGGCCATCACGTAATGACATCAATAACATTGACATAAAATTTGTTTTATCACAAATTCACATCGCTCCAAAGGACAATTTATTGAGGGCATGGAAAGTGGACAACGTAACCAGGATTGATGCACTGTATAACAATTTTAAAACAAAGTATTTTTCATAAAGTTATAGGCTGACAATTTTTGCAGAAAACTAAAGCGTAATTATTCGGTGTTAAATATAAATTTTCTATGCTAAAATATGCTTGTTGTACAAGACATGTTCACCTCAATGTTGATTGAGGGGGTGGGTTTGTTTTGTATAGCCCAGTGATTCACATGTATAATTGTTTACTAATTACACATCTTATGAGATAGAAATAAAAGTCAACCCATAGTTATGGGTTTTTCCTTCTAAGTTCTGTGCCCCCCCCCCCCCACAAACTGCCTTGGTCACCCCTAACCCCTAAATTTCATTTTAAAATGAAAATTGAATAGTTGAATAATATTAATTTAATATTATAAAGGTTTCTTATTAATAAAGCAGACTCTAAGTATTGAATGTTAATTTACATTCAAAAGTGTTGAAAATCCAAAATGGCCACCACCTTGCAAAAGACAAATTAATGTTTATTTCAATTTTGCACAAACTGTCTCCACAAAAGTAAGGATGCTATGAATCAAAACATACTGTTTATGCTGTCTATAAACTGATGTCATCACCAAGCCAAAATTTTACTGTGATTCAGTTTCTAATTTTTGAGTTACAGGTCTCCAAACTTCATGAATATGCCAATTTTCAACGGTGCCGCACCCAAAAAAACTAAGTCAAACTGAATTTTGTCAAACTTTGCCTGTCTTCTGTGCAGATTGTGGTGTATTGTAAGAGACTACTTAGTTAAATTTTATTAAAACAAGTATAATGCTGTTGTTAAAAAAAAAAAAACATCTTTCCAGATTACATTTTCCTGGTGTTATCAGTGATCTAAAACTTGAAAATGCTTGATTTGACGATTTTTCCAGCAATTTTACCAAAAATGCACGTTTTTCAGTACATTCAACATACGATATCTTGAAAACTACTGAACCAATTTCGTTCAATTTTTTTTTGTTTTGTTTCTTTTTGACTGAGTAACAAAGTCATGCTGTCAATAAAGCTATTTGGAATAATTTATTTTTTCACTGTACTCCCTACTGCTATGCCAATAGCCATGTTGTTTATATCCAACACTGCTATGCCAATAGCCATGTTGTTTATATCCAGCACTGCTATGCCATTAGCCATGTTGTTTATATCGAACACTGCTATGCCAATAGCCATGTTGTTTATATCCAGCACTGCTATGCCAATAGCCATGTTGTTTATATCCAACACTGCTATGCCAATAGCCATGTTGTTTATATCCAACACTGCTATTAGGGAGTTCAGAATCCAATATGGCGGCCGTACGAATTCACGCACGCTGTAACTTTTCCCAAGAATTTTAAACTTTTATTTTACAAATTCTAGACGTTGCACATCAATAAAATAACGCTAATTATTGAAACAGGTTAGTCGTGTGTCTATTTCGCGCGTAAAAAGCTTGGTACGATGTGTGACTGAATCACACTCCCGTCGGAGAAATCGACCATTAGCGATAAAATTGCGCTGTAAATAAACATGGCCCTCGACATTTTGCAGGGTGCGTGATATAAAACAGAAAAGCCAAAGGGGAGCCAATCAACACAGATCTTTCAAACACAGATGAAAATATGGCCAATAAAATTCGCTGTAAGATGGTACTAGTTTAATTTATGCAGCTATGACTCATGCGAACGAAAATTGAGGTCAAAGTTTTGTCCGTTCGTTTTCTTATGTAAATACGGTATGTAAATTTTTTAAACTGAAAGTTTCACCATGTTTACTATTTTAACTGTCGTTTAAAACTATTATTGTAATTATTCATTGACCAGCTCCACTGAGAAAACTCCGGTACAAAATCGAGGTCATCGGAAGACAGGTCAAAAGTTGAGATCGAACGTAAAAATGGCGACGCGCCAATTTTTGAGTCGACCAGAACTTTTCCTTGGAGGTCTACACTTCACGGGACGCCAATTTCTGGGTAGTAACATTGATTTCCAAAGAAACTAATTCTCGTACGATTATTTTGTGACCGAATTTACAAGGTCCTTTGTTATTTTACATTAATTTCGGCACATAATCGGCAATGAAGTGGTTGAATGCAAATTTTCTACGGGTTTAGTTGCCGGGTTCAAAAAATACTGCAATTATTCGCAAAGCTTCAAAAGCGCGATATTATCGTTATTACGCCGGCATTACCATTAATTATTTGTGAATTGTACTTTGCACGATTATTTGGTATACTATTAGGGAAATTCTGTGTTGTTTACGTGCATTTTGAAACCATATGCCGACGCTATGCACTATAAATCTGAGTACCCGGTAGCTCATTCAAAGTTCAACATCGACTTTACTTCTTTCGTGGCTTTGATTTTGAAGATTTCGAAAATCACATTATTATTACCTTATGGCATGAGAGAATTAAATCATCTCAATTATTTGTTTGTTTGGATTTTTTTTTTCAATTATTTTTGCCTGTTTAATTTGTGTTCACTTTATTATTATTCAACAGTTGTTTATGTTGTAAATAAAATACACTTTTTAGTCACAATTGTTTTCTGTGTTTTTTCCTAGTTCTAACATATAAGTAATTAATTTCTAAACTCGTTAATATACTCTTGTTAGACATTAGAAACAGATAATAAATATTGTTTGTTTTTTATATTTAGATATTCCAATATGGATGTGTCACTTAGAATCAGGGACAACTTAGAAAGTTTATTGTCAGGCAGAGAAGTTAGTTGATATTAGCTGCAATGTTCACTAAGTTATGGTCTGTATTTAAATTTACATGATGATCTGCAGAAAAATGGGA